TACATATTCTATATACTAGATTCATGGAAGTTGGCATAATGGCATGTGTTTCCTTCTCCTCGCCCACGACTATACCTCTCTTGGAGAGCATCATGCTACCAGCGCCAGTTACCACCGGCCAGGCTCCACCGTAATCTTCCCATGTTGGATGACCAAGTGCTACACACTTCCCTTTGGCGATGGCACCACGGATGAGCGGATGTCATCCAAATAAATACGTTAAGCTGGCGACGACGAGGTATATGACAAGATGAAAAGCTTCGTAGTGAGGGATGCCAGAAGGAGGCGAGAGGAGTGTGGGTAGTGGGTGAGAACGGCTGCATATAATTCTCTCTCGTGCTGCGCTCCGCAACTCGCAGAAAACGTCATTCAGTTCCCGGATACCCTACTCTTCGCCCCTGATGGACACCATAAATTCGAAGTTGTGCTGCAGCCTGCAGTTCCTGTCCTGCTCCCCGCGACACACCTCCTCATCTTGATCCACAACCATTGGTACGGTAGAACCTCTTCTAACCATTGTTGTTTTTTCATGTATGCTCTCAGTCAGTCTAAGCATGTAAATTGAAGCATTGTCTTATTTTCCACACGTATGCAATTTGCCTAACCATGCAGAAGATTAATGAGGAACTTCATGATGGTAAAATTAACAGAATATCCTATTGACGCGAAGCACGAAGTCACAGGCACATGCACATTGAAGTAGACTTAAAAACTCATATGACTTGACAAAGTAACCTACCCTGGGTCTCTCCCAATGTTCTAATTTAAGTTGTGAGGTGAACTGACAAAGTATGCCTTTTAATTATACATCAATTCTGGCAGAAACTACATGTATTTCAACTTTATAGTCATAAAGAAGTTCGCCGTTGATGAAAATATGAACTTATTAGGATGCTTACTTGAAGAATACAAATAATTAATATTTTGCAGACCATATATATCATCTACCTCATTGGTTCCACAAAGTATTTTTTTTTCAATAAGTTATCCTTGCAATATAATTAGTTTGCATCTTTAGCTTGTGATCCTCTTCACCATCATACATATTCTATATACTAGATTCATGGAAGTTGGCATAATGGCATGTGTTTCCCTCTCCTCGCCCACGACTATACCTCTCTTGGAGAGCATCATGCTACCAGCGCCAGTTACCACTGGCCAGGCTCCACCGTAATCTTCCCATGTTGGATGACCAAGTGCTACACACTTCCCTTTGGCGATGGCACCGCAGATGAGCGGATGTCATCCAAATAAAAACGTTAAGCTGGCGACGACGAGGTATATGACAAGACGAAAAGCTTTGTAGCGAGGGATGCCGGAAGGAGGCGAGAGGAGTGTGGCTAGTGGGTGAGAACGGCTGCATATAATTCTCTCTCGCGCTGCGCTTCACAACTCGCAGAAAACGTCATTCAGTTCCCGGATACCCTGCTCTTCGCCCCTGATGGACACCATAAATTCGAAGTTGTGCTCCAGCCTGCAGTTCCTGTCCTGCTCCCCGTGACACACCTCCTCATCTTGATCCACAACCATTGGTACGGTAGAACCTCTTCTAACCATTGTTGTTTTTTCATGTATGCTCTCAGTCAGTCTAAGCATGTAAATTGAAGCATTGTCTTATTTTCCACACGTATGCAATTTGCCTAACCATGCAGAAGATTAATGAGGAACTTCATGATGGTAAAATTAACAGAATATCCTATTGATGCGAAACACGAAGTCACAGGCACATGCGCATTGAAGTAGACTTAAAAACTCATATGACTTGACAAAGTAACCTAACCTGGGTCTCTCTCAATGTTCTAATTTAAGTTATGAGGTGAACTGACAAAGTATGCCTTTTAATTATACATCAATTCTGACAGAAACTACATGTATTTCAACTTTGTAGTCATGAAGAAGTTCGCCGTTGATGAAAATATGAACTCATTATGATGCTTACTTGAAGAATGCAAATAATTAATATTTTGCAGACCATATATATCATCTACCTCGTTGGTTCCACAAAGTATTTTTTTCAATAAGTTATCCTTGTAATATAATTAGTTTGCATCTTTAGCTTGTGATCCTCTTCACCATCATACATATTCTATATACTAGATTCATGGAAGTTGGCATAATGGCATGTGTTTCCTTCTCCTCGCCCACGACTATACCTCTCTTGGAGAGCATCATGCTACTAGTGCCAGTTACCACTGGCCAGGCTCCACCGTAATCTTCCCATGTTGGATGACCAAGTGCTACACACTTCCCTTTGGCGATGGCACCGCGGATGAGCGGATGTCATCCAAATAAATACGCTAAGCTGGCGACAACGAGGTATTTGACAAGACGAAAAGCTTCGTAGCGAGGGATGCCGGAAGGAGGCGAGAGGAGTGTGGGTAGTGGGTGAGAACGGTTGCATATAATTCTCTCTCGCGCTGCGCTCCGCAACTCGTAGAAAACGTCATTCAGTTGCTGGATACCCTGCTCTTCGCCCCTGATGAACACCATAAATTCGAAGTTGTGCTGCAGCCTGCAGTTCCTGTCCTGCTCCCCGCGACACACCTCCTCATCTTGATCCACAACCATTGGTACGGTAGAACCTCTTCTAACCATTGTTGTTTTTTTCATGTATGCTCTCAGTCAGTCTAAGCATGTAAATTGAAGCATTGTCTTATTTTCCACATGTATCCAGTTTGCCTAACCATGCAGAAGATTAATGAGGAACTTCATGATGATAAAATTGACAGAATATCCTATTGATGCGAAGCACGAAGTCACAGACACATGCGCATTGAAGTAGACTTAAAAACTCATATGACTTAAAAAAGTAACCTACCCTGGGTCTCTCCCAATGTTCTAATTTAAGTTGCGAGGTGAATTGACAAAGTATGCCTTTTAATTATACATCAATTTTGGCAGAAACTACATGTATTTCAACTTTGTAGTCATGAAGAAGTTCGCCGTTGATGAAAATATGAACTTAATAGGATGCTTACTTAAAGAATGCAAATAATTAATATTTTGCAGACCATATATATCATCTACGTCATTGGTTCCACAAAGTATTTTTTTTCAATAAGTTATCCTTGCAATATAATTAGTTTGCATCTTTAGCTTGTGATCCTCTTCACCATCATACATATTCTATATACTAGATTCATGGAAGTTAGCATAATGGCATGTGTTCCCCTCTCCTCGCCCACGACTATACCTCTCTTGGAGAGCATCATGCTACCAACGCCAGTTACCACTGGCCAGGCTCCACCGTAATCTTTTCATGTTGGATGACCAAGTGCTACACACTTCCCTTTGATGATGGCATCGCGGATGAGCGGATGTCATCCAAATAAATACGTTAAGCTGGCGACGACGAGGTATATGACAAGACGGAAAGCTTCATAGCGAGGGATGTCGGAAGGAGGCGAGAGGAGTGTGGGTAGTGGGTGAGAACGGCTGCATATAATTCTCTCTCGCGCTGCGCTCCGCAACTCGCAGAAAACGTCATTCAGTTCCTGGATACCCTGCTCTTCGCCCCTGATGGACACCATAAATTCGAAGTTGTGCTGCAGCCTGCAGTTCCTGTCGTGCTCCCCGCGACACACCTCCTCATCTTGATCCACAACCATTGGTACGGCAGAACCTCTTCTAACCATTGTTGTTTTTTCATGTATGCTCTCGCCTCCTTCCGACATCCCTCGCTATCGAGACGACGAGGTATATGACAAGACGGAAAGCTTCATAGCATTGTCTTATTTTCCACACGTATCCAATTTGCCTAACCATGCAGAAGATTAATGAGGAACTTCATGATGATAAAATTGACAGAATATCCTGTTGATGGGGAGCACGAAGTCACAGGCACATGCGCATTGAAGTAGACTTAAAAACTCATATGACTTGACAAAGTAACCTACCCTGGGTCTCCCTATGTTCTCATTTAAGTTGTGAGGTGAACTGACAAAGTATGCCTTTTAATTATACATCAATTCTGGCAGAAACTACATGTATTTCAACTTTGTAGTCATAAAAAAGTTCGCCGGTGATGAAAATATGAACTTATTAGGATGCTTACTTGAAGAATGCAAATAATTAATATTTTGCAGACTATATATATCATCTACCTCATTGGTTTCACAAAGTATTTTTTTTCAATAAGTTATCCTTGCAATATAATTAGTTTGCGTCTTTAGCTTGTGATCCTCTTCACTATCATACATATTCTATATACTAGATTTATGGAAGTTGGCATAATGGCATGTGTTACCACTGGCCAGGCTCTACCGTAATCTTCCCCTGTTGGATGACCAAATGCTACACACTTCCCTTTGGCGATGGCACCGGCCTAGCAACATGCACATTTTTCAAGCATTTATGTACTACTACAATGTATTAGCAAGACTTAGTTCAAGTATTAATCGATCTCTACTATTTTTTCGTGAATATGTGTGTTTGTTTTTTCAATCTCATATCCTAAACATGAATGAATGTTGAACTTTCAGCAAACTTTAATCTATTCACATCTTCTCATATATATATTTCTAGCAGCCATGCATCAAAATGACAAGCGGGGCGAAAGCTTGTTGTGAGGAAGATAGGTTGCTAGATGGTCATGTTAACACGCACCCAATCTTCTCTTCCACACTTCTTCACTGCAAACTGGTTAAATTTCTCTCCTTTGATAACTTAATGATATATTGGTCAATTTATACAAAAATGATATCTCATGTTTTGCACATTCACTTACTTTATGAAGTTCTTATCAATCTAACAAAAATTGACGGGCGCAGCAACGCGCGCTTTCATGATCTAGTAGCAAACATAAAAAACAATAGAAGTTACATAAAAACACGTCAATTTCCATAATCCTAAGGGTACAACCGCAAGAACGATTACTTCGCCACGCGGAATGCGAGTGTGTGACTAATTCCTGAGGTCTGCCTCTCCTTTCCTAACCCGCGTCGCTAATTCTCGTCGCGAACTTCTCGCCGGAGGAGCAGAGGAGCTCACAAGAGAAGGCCATGGGGCCACCGCAGCCAGCCAAGGGCATCATCAGCATCGAGGCCTGCGCGCGGCCGATCGCCGTCGACCACCGCATCAGCCTTCCCTACTACTTCCGCATCGCGGGCACCCTCCTCCGCCAGGTCAAACCCTAACCATCTTCCAAATCTCTCGCTCGGAATTCCTACCGCCACTATAGATCTGGCCTTTTGGGGCTGAAATTTAGCTTCTAGCTGTTCTTTCGCAATTCGCGGTAGTTTTCTTGTTCTGTTAACGCGCGGTGTGGTGAATTTGGTCTGTAGTACGTAATTAACGTCAGTGCTACCGTGTTTTTGTTCCAGACGGTGCTAAAATGTTGTGCTTTTATGTGGTGCGCAGGCCAAGATATATCGAGATGAGAAGAACATCCTCGACCTGTATGTCATCCTCCTGAGATATACGAGGTTGGCTGAACGTTGATTGATTCATCCTGATATTCGCTTCTTACTATTGTGATGATGATGATCAGTTAACATCTGACTCTGACCGGCTGCAGCTTGCTGTGTGAGACCATCCCCAAGCACCGTGACTACCCCGTATTCAAGTTGAGGGAAGCAGAGTTCGTCAGAAACGCCAACTCCTCTGTAATTCCTCTTACGCGCTCACTAACTACTCTATTTATGTTATCAAACATTTAAAGTATTAGTTTTCATGATCACATAGCACATCTTGAGCCTTATATGTATAATATATGATGTAGAATTTACAGTTCCGATTGGTCATGTTGACTAATCTACCCTCCCCCTCCCCGTGCGCTTGTTTGTCTGATTGACTGTTTTGTTGTAGACACTCATTGATGTTGTCAATGAGCTTGAGTCTCTGAAGCCAGTTGTGAAGCGGCAGCTCGTTGAACATAACAGAAGGGGTAGCCCGGAAGCTAATGGTCTGAATGGAACCCATGCTGCAAGTTTAAGGACGGAGAAGCATCCTCCAACCACATATTCCACACAGGTAATATGGGATTGTGCAACATTTCGTAGTTTGCAATCATTTTGTGGAAAACGAGTTATGTACTGTCAGTTTGCCAGGTGTTCTTTCTGGCTATTCTTTCTTATTCCTTCCCTTCTCCAGCCATTTGTAGGTTCATTGCAAAAATTCTACCCAGACGGGAGGCATCACGTGGCATCACGGACAAGTATCCAAACTGATAGGCAGATCCGCAAACAGTATGTGTATCTTCTGTTCATATTTGTGTGTATGATATGCTGTGTTTCATTTGGCTGAAGTAAAAGTAGTGCCTGAGTGATTTCCAGATTGAACGGTTGTCCACCAATTATGAAAGAGGAAGGCTAGTTGACATGTTTGATAGCTAACCTAAACCACTCTGGTAACTTGATCAATTTCTTAAGCCAAAAAGTTAGGTTTAAAGGGTACACTTCATAAGCAACACAGTAACTTAATCTAGATGATAAGTGCCACACGTGTGGCACGAAGCACTCCGGCCCTGATGTTTTTACAACTAAAGTTGCCATCCGAAAAAAAACGTAAAAAAAAACTGAAATTTGCCATCTGAAAAGAGAGTTGCCATCCTCGCGTCACTAAACTTGCCATAAAAAACGTTCGGAGTTGCCATGTGTTCGTGCCACACGTTTGGCACTTATCGGGGTCCTAACTTAATTATGGGACCGCATGCTTTCCTGCATTTGAGTCAGGTCAATTATCAGTCTTTCTCTGACTAGTCGGTTGAATTAGGAGATTTCAGAGATCTAGCTCTGGTTTATGAGTTCTTTTTATTAATACAAGAACATAGTTTTTTCATGGCAGAGTTTAGTCGTGTTTATCAATTTGTCTGGCTGTCCTACAGTTTTATAAGTGGATATTTGAAGTTTGGCACCACATTAATTGTTTCTGGTGATTGGTCATTCTACACTGTACACATTTCGGAGTTGTTAAGCAGAGAAACATCATCCTCTAGCAAGGGGCAAAAGGTTGAATGTGAAGAGCCAACATCATTCCTCCAGAAATGCTGACGCATAGCAGAAGATTAAAGCGTGCTGATAATGTCAAGAGAGATCGGGGTAGACCAAACTTGACATGGGAGGAGTCCGTAAAGAGAGACCTGAAGGACTGGAAAATCCACGTGCCAGAACTATGACTAAGTTTCGAGATCTTATAGGTTCCAACTCTAGCCTACCCCAATTTGTTTGGGACTGAAAGGATGAATTGCTGCTTCTCTTCTAGTTGCATGCATGTGACTTGATATTTTCATAGTCTCTGTTTGCTCCTTTATACGATGCGCTTTTTTTAGACAAAAAGTTCCATTACTTTGCCTGACATCCACAGTCATTTAGTGTTATAGATTTGTTGTTGGAATACTTTTTATCGGTGTACTAAGCTAGACTCTTTTCACTTTCTGGCTAAATTATTCAGATTTGTAAATCTGCCTTTTCCGAAAGAAGAGACACTGGCTAGACATTCAATATTAGGGCCTAATGGGCTTCATGGACAATGGAATGGGCCTGTTGCTGCAGTCAAGGCATGTTTGCTTTCGTTACATTTCCCCCAACATGTTTGCATGAGAATTTGATCATGGGCAACCATTATCTTACAAATTTATTTCTGCTTAATGCAGGTCCAATATCCATGCAATCTTGAATTTACACAAAGTGATATGACAAGGTGAGATTTGAGATAGTTTCAGCATAATATCTCTAATACAAATTCTGTTTTTTTGTCTCATTTTTTCTTACCTTGCGCAAAGTTTCGTTCAGTTTTAAAAATGGCGTGCTCTTTCTTTTTTGAAAGCCGCCCTAAGGCCGTGCTTGGATTGGTTGTAATTAAATACGGAGGTGTATGTTTTACACCTGTATCTTACCGGCTGCTTAGCAAATCTCGAACGGAAATAAAACGATGAGCTGAGACCCGTATTCTTTACAGGTGTATTTCAAAAGAACACGACGATCCAAACAGGGCCTCATTGGTCTTTCTACTCTGTTTGAGACCTGGAAGCCTATTGAGATTCATGTATGCATTGAACTATTTTGAGTGGAATCCACTGAACAAACATAAATAATTTAACTATCTCATTGCCTCCAAATTGTTTTAATTGTATGGACTAGATTTAGAAAGAAAGCGGGATTTGACTAGACAAATTCAATGAAGCTAATACAATATTTGAGTAGAAGAGAGATTAGAAGAGTAAACCAAACATATGTATAATTTATATGGAAATTAGTCTGCTCAGTGTGACATTATCACTCTGTTGCTTCTGCAGTCTAGTGCCGGCTATGTTGAACCAAGATGGTCTGCATGGTCCCAGTACCACATATCCTGATAGCACTACAAAAGATAACGATGATATGCAATCTGTTCTATCTCTTGATGATGGTCGATGGTCTGCACCAGCAGAAGAATGCACCTCTACACCTTCTGCTAGTCTGGAGGGAGAATTGTCCCAGTTGAATATCAGACAGCCTTCACCCCCGCCAGTCCTGGCAGAAGTACATCCTGATCGCGCACCCGCAATTTCTCCATCAAGAGTTGGTGATCCAACACAAGGACTTGCTATATCAGAAACCGGTCGTTATCATAACTTGCATGTTGTAAGTTCAAATTACACCCGATTCCATTTGAAATGATATATTGCTCTGTATTTGTTTGTAACTTATGTATTCCTATACAGTTATCTTGACTGATGATTTCAACTTTGTTAGCCGGTGAAGTTGATGGAGTGTTTTCTAAGGGTTGCTGAGGCGAACACTAAAAGAAGTTTAGAAACTTGTGGGGTTCTTGCTGGTACCCTGGTATGTATGTTATTCCGGAAATGAGAACAGTTATTTTGCTCGACTACTGACATCACATTGTATTTTTCATGTAGAAAAAGAGAACTTTTCATATTACAACCTTAATAATTCCAAAGCAGAAATCTACATCTGATTCGGTAAGTTGTTCTTGTATCTTTCGTTGACTAGGTTGTTTACTGTATTAATAATACATTGCTTTCTTTTTTGACAGTGTGAAGCTACAAATGAAGAAGAACTATTTGAAGTTCAGGACAAGGGCTCACTATTCACCCTTGGTTGGATTCATGTAAGTTCAGTTTAAAGAATTTTATGCACCATTGATGCTGTTTGTTGTTTGCTCAAGCCAATAAGGTATATGTAATCTGTTAACAATATATTTAAAGATATATCAATTAATACATTTTCTTTAGTTCTTTGTCTTCATAATTCATAACTGAAGAAACTCTGTTTAAAACCTTTGTTGTTACAAAGCTGGATACTATGCTATCAAACCCTTTTGCTTGAATTGGCGTGCCACTTTTATTTTGAGAATCTCGCTGATATGCTTACAATTGTCACCTTGAAATCGACATTTGTCCATGTAATTACGTGTATTACATGATTTAGATCCATGTTGCCTAATTGTGGACAATGCTTCATGCACTTCCCATACACAATGGAAGGTGGTGCGGTGCCACAAGGGCATCTTCCATAGTTGATAGGTGAAATCATGGTTTTGCAACTAGATCTGTATGTATATGTATTGCTTTCTTGCAATGTTGTGTTATGTTTTTGCCGCGGTAAAGCTGTTGCCTTGTGACCATGAGGTCACGGGTTGAGTCCTGGAAACAGCCTATTGCAGGAATTGTAGGGAAAGGCTGCGTATTACAGACCCAAAGCGGCCGGACCCTTCCCCGGACCCTGCGCAAGCGGGAGCTACGTGCACCGGGCTGCCCTTTGTGTTATGTTTTTGCACTAGGCCATGTCACCGAATCATGGACTTGATAGAATGTAACATAAACAAAATCAGTGTTGTTGAAAATGTGTAAATTCCTATTTAATATTGGTTCAAGGAGATTCATGGCACTCTCAGTTGTATCTCATGCAATATTTGTTTCAAAGATGGATGTGGTAACACATTGCTGTTTTAGTATTAGCCATCTGAATTCTACCAAATGGTAATAAGTAGATGCCATATGGCAATACGTGTTACAGAAGTAGTCCTCAAAAAAGTAAGTGTTACAGAAGTAGGCATAACTGCATAAGTACGGTACTCCATACCTAGCCATAGCTTGGTACTTGGGGATATTATTTATTTGTTGACTGCCTGACCGCTCGCTTCTGTTGTCATAAAAAAGGTTGCTTTCGTCACTAATTGTCTGCTTTCCTTTCCAGACACATCCAACGCAGTCCTGTTTCCTGTCCTCTATTGACCTCCATAATCATTATTCGTACCAGGTAATGTTGGCAGACTGGACCTCTCAGTACCATTACCACTTATTTGGTGGGCAGTTCCATTATAGCATTTTTGTTGTTGCCCTCAACACTCGATGACGTCATTTGTCTCACAGTACAATCGTATGTTTTCAGATAACGAAAACATGAAGAAATTAATTGTATATCAAGATTCTGTAACTCTACTTATTGATGAGATGCTATACAATATGAAAAATCTAGAATGCATATTTGCAAGCATATTTTTAGATCAATATTTAAAATGATATTTGTTTCATTTGTTAATCTTGCTTATCCTATTGTTTCATTTGTATCATGTATTCGGATGCCTACTTTCCCCCCGTGTCCACAAGACAATTCCTTCTGTTTGTTTTTGACCCCTCTTAACTTTGTGTATCCAAAGATGCTTGACCCCTCTTAACTTCGGTAGAATAAATGTTTCCACTTGTAGTCACTCCCACTTGTATTTCCTATGTTCTAGGTAGTATCTATCATACCGGAGTGCATATACTCGTAGTATGTAGTATATAAGAATGTTTAGGTAGCAAAGCATGTATGCTACTCCCTCCATACATAAATATAAGGCGTAGAGACTTGACACAACTCTCTAAAACGTCTTATATTTATGTACCGAGGGAGTACTTTTTAGGTAGCATGTGCCATATTTTGGGCATACTCCTTTTTTACATACAAATATGTGCGTATTTCACAAATATAATGAAAATTATGGGCCCACTTGTATTTTTTTTAGATAACTCACTTTGGCATTAAATATAGTATACAAACATATAGTATATATACAACCACAAATCATGTAGTGTACGTGTACTCTGCATCATGATTTTCTACAATTCATTTGAGCAAATGTGTTTGACATTATTGTATCAACAGGTCATGCTACCTGAGGCAATTGCAATAGTTATGGCACCTACCGACACAAGAAAGTAAGTATTTAATTGTTTTGTATGTTCTGTCAACATCCAGTTTTGCGGTCAATCTTTCACTTTTTTTTTTGACTGTTGCTAATCAAAATCATATGGACTAGCATTGGCTTGTGGTGAACTTTAGGGTGTTTAGAGCATCTCTAGTAGATGCTCTAAATTTGATAGTCTATATATATATCCCCATGTAGACTATGGTTTAAAAGGATTCCTCATGTATATCTCACAGCTCTCCAGCAGATAGTTTATATTCACATCCTCTATATTCTCTCCTATATTTCAATAATATTTTATAACTACCAATGCAACAACCATTTCACCACCATACTTAGTTCCTGCTAATTAAATACAAACATGATGTAACATCTTGATGCTGTGCAACCATTTTAATTTAAATAGTTGATACTACGTTCTAGTGTGCGTTGATAGCAAAATGTATCAGGCTAATCAATCAAAATAGCACATGCACGTGTGCTGTACAGAGAGGAGAAATGAAGAAAAGCAGGCAGACTGATCAGTCAAGCCCATCCCCTGTTAACTTATCTTCTCAGCTTTTCCGAAACAATCATCTTCCTCAGACTCTCCTGTACAGCTCTCTCTTTCCTAACAGAGCGATGCTTTTCACTAAAAAAAAATAATGACGCCTGTCACGCCTGCCACTCCTGTCCGTCTCCTTCACTGTTGTCAGCGCCTATGAGGCCCCCATGACTTCCTCTACCTATTCCCCTTCCTACTGCTGCTGCCACCACCGGCCGCGGCCATGGACACCCCCAGCCCTGTCCACTGCGATCCGAGCCGCCGCCTGCAGCACCACCTCTGCTGCTCCTTCCCCCCGCTGCCCGGCTTCCTCCCTTTCCGTCCT